ATTTTGTGAAATTTGACATTCATTTTCTAGGGCTCCTATAAGAAATTTTCTTTGGGTTGACTAATTACATCTTTAGCCCTTGAAAATATGAAATAGAATGTAATATGCTTTAAATTATTCTGGTAAAAGGTTTTGTCAAATTAAAATTACTCAATTTCCTGGTGAAGTACATCTTAATTCAGTTTGCAAGCATCTGCTAAGCATCTTAGACTTTGTAAAACACTTGAGGAAGTCTGTGCTCTAAAAAATATTGATGGGAGCCCAGTGCTCTCAACCTGTAAATTCTTGGGTGCAATGTATGGAAACAGTAAGATTTTCTAGTCACCAAGGAGCAAAAGTTAGGTGCCAGGGACCACTGGGTTCTGGGAGAGCACGCAGCCCTGCTTAAGTGAACTGCTTGATAATTACTACACTATTCATGGTTTTCTTTAAGGGCTACCATTTATCTTTAAAGCAAAATTAGAAGTGAAAAACATTAAGTGGCCACTGACCTGCTGCTGACTACTCCATTAAAATCATGGAAAATGCAATTTAGATGAAAATGGCTTGAATAAAATAATGAATTCCTTGCAAGCCCAGTGATGTTTCCAGCTACTGCTTTATCATAAATACACTGCAAGTCCTGCCAGAGATTTGGACAACTGGGCTGAAAAAGAATGACCACAACACAATCAGGTCCATTTTTTATAGAAGCTAAGTAAATAAAACCAGTTAGTAATTTGTTCTTTTTTTCAATAGATATCATTACTATTACATATTAATTGTTCTTTGAATTTTCTATATGGGTATGGGTGATTTCAAACAAGTTGCTGGTTTCAGACACAATTATAATACCAACTGATTACGTTGATTGGACGGCTAACGCATACACAAATATAAGTCACAAGGATGTTACTGTTTGAACTGAATGCTGTGCTAGAGTCATACTTGGTGCCTTTACAAGTACACAAAGAGGATATCAAACAAAATTTCGTCAGGGAACAAAAACCACAGTAATATTTTTAGGTCATTTTTGTAGGGATAGCATTGAAACTTAAAAAAGTCGGACCAACATTTTTACTAGGATTATCAGTTGAGTCACTATGACACGTGGGAAGTTTCATGTGTAAGTTTTGCTGTTGTAAGAGGTGACAATGCTAGTTTCCATTGTAACATGCATTGTGTTATTGGCATCATCGCCCTTGCAGAAGGCAAAATTCTGAGAAGGCACACTAGTAGCTTGTGCATGTATTAAAAAGAGTACTTACAGCAGAAAGACAATCTGTATGCCAGAAAAAATTTTGATTTGCTTGAACAGGGGCCGCATGGAATTGTACGGTAATGATGACATTTTCTATTGTTCACACCCGCAAGTAAGAGATGGCTAGGATGAGGTAAAACAGAAATTCCTGAACGGATCACTTAGGTAGATTTTGTGACATTTATTGTACAGTCATACTTCGATACTCTTTTGTGTTATCAGTGACATTCTGTGGAGCAGTTGTTTTGAAAGTTAAGGACCAAACAACACTCGTTAAGCACAGATAAAGTTATAAGGTGCTTATAACTTTGTACGTATAAACACTGGGAGAGTTTGCCAGACACAAGTTTACAAATCTTTGATTGGAAACAATTCACAGGTTGACACTCTTTCTCCCTCTTTAAGGAAATAAGACCCAGTCCACAAACAAGCAAGACGAGTGAATCAACGGCTAGCTTATCACTAGCAGAACAATGAACAATAATTTATTACAGAAATTCGCCAAACATAAAATTCTGTGCTGACTTACTTCCTGCTCACAGATGTCCTTCCATTAAGTTTAACAAAAGACTAGAACACGTGAGCATTAATTGATCAAACCTTTGAATTTCTAAGGCTTACTTTCTGGCAAATAAAATGACCTGTACGTAAAAAGTTAAAGGGAAATAGAAATTCCAACTTCTAATGAAATCTTTTCTTATGGTTAAGACTAAACTACAGAATTTCCTTGAATAACAGCCATTGGCTAGGATTTTTTTTTTGCACTGAAAGGGGGCGATTATTTGAGGGAGGCTGTTTATTCAAATATTGCTCACTACAAGTTGTGGCCTAAATATTGTTCTATTTTCCCATTAAATCAAAAAACAATCACATCAAATAAACTGAACAATGGCATTTAAGGTGTTCTTAATTTGGTTCCTTTATAAAATTTGGATGTCAATGTCAATTAATTGAGGTGGCGATTATTTTAAACATTTCCGTGAAAGGGGGGAGATTATTCAGGGGAGACGATTGATCGAGGGACAGCTATTATTTGAGGAAATATGGTATTCTCGAAACTGAGAATGTTTTGATTAAAGCAGTGTAAATTGAACCGAACTGAACCAGTGCATGGAACCTTGCGCTTCCTTTTTTTCCCTCACCTATTGTATGGAATATGTGTGAAAATCTTCATTATGAATAATTATTGGTATATTTCAAAGAGCTATACACAATGTTTAAGAATAAAAATCAACGATAAAAATTTTGAATGACGTTTCGATGATTCGCTCATCATTTTCAAATTCTAAAAAGATAGATTGTTAAAAGTTCTTTATATATGAAGAATGCGTGTGAAGTCTCATTGCATGTGATTAAAAACTACAATGTGGAATGTAGTGAGTGTTAATTAGGTACTAAATAGTTTCGCTTTTATTGAGTCTGATTGAGTGTTCAGTTTGGGTTTCATTTCCTGGATAAAAAGCATTTCGTAGATCAAGCATTCAAATTTCCCACGACATTTCTTCAGTATAGTGAATTGTTCAGTGAGGTCTTTGTTCTTTTGATTGTGAGAGTCACGCAGGTGTTTTCCAATAGCTGAGTGCTTGTGTTCATCAATGCGTTGGAAAAGGTGTCGGCGAGTATA